ATTCGAGTACGCCACTGGGAAGCAAGTGAAATCTGCGGAATCCCAGGGAATCTCCAATTCGTCATTCACTCATATACGTATTAATAATCAATACGGATAATCTCTATCTGTTTCCATAGCGAAACATGAAGCCGATTTTTGAAGACAAATGACTATATCCATAAGGAAAAGTTTTGAAACGATCAGACACATACTGCTTTGATTGAAAGGCTAGTAAACGTCATTGTCCACCGAAACGCATGTCTTTGATGACTACTATAATAGCGCATGGCGCATGCGTATCATGCCACCAAATCCTTATGGATATTCATTTGTTTCATATTTTTGGCTTCATCCTGGCACCCGTTATGATCCGTATTGTTTATTAACACGTATATGCATTCACTAAAGTCAAAACAAGACAGTGATGCCAGATTGTTTCAGAGAATATCCTGATAAAAATTTGTCACAGAATGAACATGAATTGAAATAGGTTATGGAAACTAATAGAGGTGAATGTAATATGTACAGGAGCCTTATTTTTTAAAGTTCACTGAGAGAACTGTGGGGTGATTATCTCCATGGATCACGAGAGACGGAGAGAAACATGAGGGGAATGATAGAACGTCCCCCTTCCTTCCACAAAGTTGAAAATCGACTCACCTAGTAGATTTTCTCATACCTGCTCGAACAGCAAAACTCCCGAGAGCAAACAAATACTAATATCGAGTCCATTCCAGACTAATATCGTCATGTGTTCTTGTTGGTTCATATTCGCACTTAAACCATCGAAAACAACTCGACGACGACATATCCTTCCTGGCAATCTCACATTGAAAATCACGATTATCACGACAAAAGACACAACATCCAATTATTTTATTTTTTATTTTACGTTTACAATTATTTTACAAACACACAAACAAAACTATTATCATATGATCTGTCAACATCATTTCTCAGAACAGTAGTATCTGTGACCATAGATTTCCTCTTTGCTGTGACCTTTGACAGTTCTAACTAGGATTGTTCGCGTTCAGAAAATAAACAATCCAAAACCGTCAGAAGCATGCACAAGTCCACAGAACCCAAAAAAATACAGTTCTGTGAAACTGCGCATGCTTCTGACAGTTTCGGACGCAAGAATTCAGATGACCATGAATTACTAATAGGCGATTTCTACGGACCAATCAGAAACAGCAAAGTAGCGCCTGCGTGGTTGCGATTCATCCTGATTGGACACAGCTGATTGGATTTGTGAGATTAGTGTATAGTGAGGAAGTATCATTTCATTGAATTAAACTAATAGATGTTTTTTCCAAATTAGTTTTTTATGAAAATGTTAGTTTTATTCAAAGATATGATCCTTCCTCACTAATACATTAATCTCAATCACCTGTGCCCAATCAGGATGAATCGCAACCACGCAGGCACTACTTTGCTGCTTCTGATTGGTCCGTAAAAGTCGCCTATTAGTAATTCATGGTCATCTGAATTCTTGCTGGTAGCACACCATAAGAACAATCAAAACAAAGATCCTTTCTTGACAGTTTGTTGTTCTGAGAATGTATGTTATTTTGGAAAACGTCAAAACGTGATACTAGTAAATGTAAACAGTGTGGTCCTTGTCATTACTTTTGTAATAGATCTATTACTATTCCACGGAGATTGTTACAATATTACGATTTGTCATGAATCTATTACTATTGGGTGTTAGCACCAAAATATGATGTTTTGTTACTGTTAGCACAATATGATGTTTTGTTACTAAAAAATCTATTTCTGTGTTCAGCGGATAATTATGTTCTGCTCTATGGGTCTATGTTCCATATTTATGTCATAAGTTCTGTGTGACCTGCCTCATTCCTGCCAAAACTGTCTAATTTGTGCGATATGGTTTTACAAGAATGACATTCAGAATGTCAAATGTCAGATTTTTAGGATCTATTACCTTTTGATACAAACCTGTTACCATTTTCCAAGAATATCTATTACGAAAAAATCAGACCCAGGAACAACACTGAATGTAAAGTTTTGTTTCTGACAATTTGCTTGGAATGTGACGATGCATTTCTCAAACATTGAGCTGAATGATATGGTTCTTATGTCGGGTCGTTATTGTGCGGGGCCCATTAGACTCCTCGAAGACCACGAAATTGTAGCGATGCAAGGAGGTGGAAGGAAGGGTCTAAAGGATTTTTCAGTAAAATAACATCCAACCGTGAGGTGTTAAGTTATACGCTATTCGAGCTTATGAGTAGAAATCTTGGGTGAGTCCATTTTGAAGTTTTTGTATTATCTTTCTGAAATTCAAGACCAGGGTTAACTTCTTCCCCATGTACATACATTTTCTCGATTATACATTTTATTTAATATCTCCTAATTTTCATGTAGATTGGCAACGTCGCTTCGTTCATCACGGTCGACTGCGGATCGCAAACGATAGTTGTGACAGAAGTAGAAATCTGGGCGGAAAAAGGGTATTTTGCCCCAAATCTATTTTGATCCTAATAATATTTTTAATAGTGCTATTCGGTAGTATACCTCAAGCTTTCTTAGTGTTTAAAATATATGCACTTATTTTAAAATCAGCCTGTATGTATCATCATTGAATAACAAATATTTCTCATACCGTATCTTTGACTACAACGACACACCAGGCTACCTACAGAGTGGTCCAACGAAAAGTATGCACCTAGCTTTTCTCCTTTGTTTACAATTGGAAGCAAAAATGCCCGGACACGTGGAGTTTGCTTTTGAGGGGGCCACATTCTGAAGATATTTTTCAACCTGTGCCTTTAACGCCCCAGCGAGGGGGTGTCACAACCCTAACATTTTAAATAGAAGGTGATGTGGTCGAGTGATATATCATTTGAACGGGCACAAAATTATCTTCCTGATGATTCCCTATTTGTTGAAATTTACTCGAACAGTTAATGCGTAAACGGCTTTAAGAACATTAACCCGATAATTTTGTTATTTATGAAAAATACAAATAGGTTTTGGTTATTAGGAATCAAAACATTTACAATTAGAAGTACTTACGTTTCAATGTTTGTTACTTGAAACAGTGCTTTGTAAAGAAAGTAAACAAGCTGTTAAATTGATTCATTAAAACGTTACTTCAACAAGTGTTCAAAATGTGACCCACTTGCTTCTATACAATGATACAGATCTTGTTCAAATCTATTTCTAACATTTTGTAGCATATCAGGTGTTGCTGGAATTCAATTGGAAAAAATACAGGGTGCTTCAAGATTCAGAATTCTGATCACCTTGTATCTGTTTCAAATAAATATCAGAAGATAGTGAATCGGAAGTTAGGATAGGAACATGTGAGCCGTTTTGATCGATAAAGAATAGTTTCGACACAAAAAAATCCTAAAATTGAGAAATCTCGATTTTGAACACCCTATATCTCTGTAATCATTCATGCTAGAGCTCAAGTGTGATATATCTATGAAATCAGCTCTCCAGGAAGAATCTAAAAATGCAATAAAATACAGGGTGCTCTTTTCAAAATAACGAAGTTACTAGTTGTTTCTTATAGAAGTGGCAACACTGTATCGATGAAAATATTCTAGACAGATAGAGAATCTTCAATTATCAGAGCATCCTAATTTTCAGAATGTTCTGTCTTTTCGTTCTCCAGATACTTCTATCAGACCATCCACCGTGGATCACCCTGTATATAAAAGTGCTTACTAAACAATATAGTTCACTTCTCACTCTAGGTGTATAATATATTATTGATATGAGGTGTATTCGATTTCAATTTGATTCACCAGAGAGTTTAAATTTTTGTTGTCGGTATATTTCTCAATAGCTCCTAAAAAAAAGTGTCAGATGAATGAAATTTCTGAGGATTGTGTGGGTTAAATGACTGAGAAAATTAAAGACATTTTCATTTGTTCATTTTGCGAATTATACATTTGAAAATGATAATTCTTGTTACATTAATTTCTTAGGTTTTGTATTTAGTTGATCATAAATAACTATTCCACAAGTATTACATCTTTATTTTTAATAATTTTCTACTTTTGCATGATTGCGATACTGTGTTGGCAATATGGCTATCCACATTATTTATTTAAATTCGATAAAAAATATAACAAACCTATTTTTCATTGCAACTATTTTTTTAGGTTCTGAACATGTTGAACTTTATCATGAAGTTATTCACGATTATATTTTCAACATGTAAAGTCGCTTGCTTAAGGTAGCATATTGTATTCATCTACCTTAATAATTGTCCATATAACTGAATTTTCTAGGAACAGCAAAAATTACTCATCCAAATCAGACTTTTCTTTTTGCACTAAACCTTTTTTTCCGTACTGAGTTGAAGTGTTCAAGGCCCTGTATCTCAGAAACGAAGCAACTACTAATATAAAAATATTCATAGAAACATTTATTTCTTATATAACGAATCACCCTCTGAAGTTTCTTACCATGATTAGGAAATACCCTGTATGATGGATATATACCTATGCAGAATATGATTATGAATATATTGTTTGGTATATTTTTTTATGCACGACCGGGCGTAAAAGAACACTATACCGCCCGGTTTTGCGGGCGTAAAGTGTCACTTTACCGCCCACGGACTACTTAACCGCCCGGCGTACAGGTAATATTCCTGAGATGCAAAATTGTATGATCGTACCTAGAATAAGACATGTGGGATGACAATAATTGAGTGACAGCAAATATAAAAGTCCTATTACTCCTATATCAAAAATTTGACTGAGTTACCAACCATGATAACGTTATTTCCTTCAATGACATTCCTCACTGCAGCCATGATGTATTTCTATATCGATCTTGAGAGGTGAAGAGGTATCCACAATGGTAAATCATACCGGTCGTGCATAAAATGTTGTATGTATTTCGGGCGTACCTTGCTTTTATGGACCTAGGCGTGTTAATAGCCCTCGCTTCCGCTCGGGCTCTTGCTTACACAGTACCTACGGTCTATAAAAGCATATTCAACGTCCTCGATACATAAAAAACTATTATAGGGTTATGGAGAGCCGAGGGTTTACATCGCTGCACAAGGACCAAAAAGCTCAACTTTGACTGATTTTTGGAGAATGATATGGCAAGAGAATGTGAAAAATATTGTAATGCTGGCCAATATTGTTGAAAACGGACAGGTACATCTTCCAATTATTTCTCTATAAAAATAAGAGTTTGAAAATATAATGAATGACATTCTTCATTATCAATAGCTGAATGGGATGGATTTAAAGTATGAATAAAGAAATTTCAGAGGGTGCGAATATGATCTTGTACGATAAATGATTATAAGAGTTTAACAGATATATAATCGAATCTAACGCACCCAGGTGCGTAGGTATGTTTTTTTTTCTAAGGGGGGTACTCAGTAGCGGAAATTAAATTATAATTTGCGGGTTGCCTAGTAGTACAACGCGTTTCAGTATATAATGAATCAACACAAAATGGTGATTTATTAGCTGTTTTAATATCTTAGAATATTCAAGATTACCAAAATAACAATTATCAGTCATTTAAATGAACAAATCAATATAAATATCCTCGATGAATACATATTTTATATGCGTATTATATGAAACATATGAGAAAATAAGAAATAATATCTCAATTTCTCCATAAGATAATATAAAGTAGGTAACTTTTATCATTCAAATCTCTTGATTGAATCTAATTAACAAAATGTCAGGTACCCCCGTGATTATAAAGGAAAGTCTTACATTGCTTTAAAACCACGAGGAAAACCTTTCGATAACAGCATCTATATCTATTTCAATATATCTATGAATATTAAATATAAAGTTAATCCGACTAGCCTGACCCATTGTACACCTCAACCATGATTTCAGGGTATTACTTAAGTGTATAGAAAATGATCTTTCAGCACTCGCCACACTCACCGGCATAACAGATTTTATCTGCAGGAGTGTATAAATAGTGGGAGATATTTCGATACTGCAATGCTGTAAAGTATCTAAGGCTGTTCCTTTGAGTAAATTATTATAGGTTTATTTTTGGTTTCTTCCCATAAATTTTTTTGATGATCTATTTCTGATTGCAACAAATCTGACTAAAATGTTTGGGAGAGAATCAATTTCTAAATTTACTAACATATTCAGAAACTTGTTTTACTAGAATCTTTGAATCACTGGTATAGAGCATAATCAGGCATCATCCTGTTGATATATAACATTCTGAATTCATTATTAATTATTGTTTCTAAGTCTTTTACTGTTTTACTATTTTTGTGCTTTCAGGGGGGGGGGTACTGTCCCCCAGTACCCTCCCCCCCCATTTCTACGCTGGTGAACCCACCTGCAGTGTTGTAAACAACAGAGGAATACGAAAATAAAATATAAAATAAAGGAATGAATATGAATTCAAATTCATCAAAGGCCAACATAAAAATATTTCCACTACTTTTCTAGTAAACTTTTTCAATCCTCCGATTATTTATTCATTTCGTTCACAAAATTGGGATTATACTAATTATTTTTTCCAAATGTCAAAATGTTTTTGTTATTTCAACCAATAGCCATCCGTTATCCTAGATAATCATTCAGTATTATACTGATAACACTGCATGATATTCGATAATTTACATTGAATGGAGAAATATGTGTATGTGACATGATTGAATCAATAATTATCACTGGACTGAATGAATACTATCCCTTTCATAAACAATAACATTTCTAGGATATAGTTCAAAACTTTAGTTAGACTCACCTGCGTTGATCCTCTTCTTATCCTTCCATTATATACATCACCTGTAGGACCCTAATATGATCAATCATATAATAGAAGTATGTATAGAATTAATCTGACTCGTGGAATGTGTCTTATTTTCAAATTAGTGAAAAAAATAATCTTCCTGAATACATCGCGTCCCCAAAATTGTATGCGATAATTTCTCATTTTCATCACCGAATATTTTTTATTTGAGGCAAAATCATCCATACAAACCGAATTAGATAAAACCACTCGTACTACCGACTCGTGATTTTATCAATCGGCTTGTATTTATATGCCAAATAAAAAAGTTTTCGTAGAAATAAAATATCAATAATATTTAACCCAATCAGCACCAGACATCTTAAAGACGTACATTTTACGACTTACTTACGTCTTTACGTCCAGGGACGTATAAAGTACGTCATTGAGATGTAAATCCATGTACATCTTAAAGACGTACACGAATTTACGTCTTTAAGACGTACATTTTAGGTCGTATCCACGTCGTTCCTCCCATGTTGCATAAAAGACGTCTTAAAGACGTACATTCCAGTACGTCAATTCGACTTATAGATCAATAATGTAAGTTATTTTCTGAAGAAAAACAAAATGTCATCTATTCACGTTCTTCATTTTCAATTGTTCAGATTTCTCTTATTTTCAACAAAAGTGATGTTTTTGAATTTTTTCGTCCGACATTTCAGAGCCTTCGTGTTAGATTCTCGAATTTTTACAAAAAAATCATATTCTCCGACCCCAAAAGTCCCATAGTAATCAATTTTGAATAAAATCGGACTATAATCACAAAACACGTCCGCCATTTTGAAGCCGACATCTTGGATTTTTCATTTTCACCAAAAGGAATTATAATCTCTGATCCCGAAATCCTTCAGATGCCAATTTTGAATCAGATCAGACCATAATCAGAAAACCATATGCCACATCGTCCGCCATATTGGATCCGCCATTCTGTTTGTTCCATTCAATAATATTATCACAACGAATTGTCACCGGAATAATATTTACTTGCCAAATTTCAAATCAATCGGACGATTTAAAGTGAGTCAAATTTTACTTGCACGTTTTGATTACAAACAGACACAAGGACATGTTAAACTAAGTAAAAGCTTGTTATGTGATATATATAGAACAAACAGAGTAACAGAGGAAGTGAATATGGTATAATCATCAAAGTCAAGCAACAAAGAGCGCGGTTAGTACTTGAATGGGTGACCGCTTGTGTCTACCGTTTGATGAATTCGTTTATTTCCCTTTTTTTTGCTTGTCTGCACTTGTTGCTAACTTCAGTGCACAGGTGAAAATCAACTGAAACTATGTGATTTTTCCGTAATTTGAAAGATCAATTTGAGGTCATGGACCAAAAACACCTAAAAAAGACGTCTTAAAGACGTACATATTAGTGGAAAATGTACGTTTTAAAGAAGTATTAAAGACGTTCCTTGGGCGTAATATGTACGTCTTTAAGACGTACTTATGTCCCGATATGTACGTCTTAAAGACGCCTTCAATACGTACTTTGGCTGATTGGGAAAGGACTCGTGGTGTTACCGTCGATGATTTCATCAGACATTCATCCATTATTCACAGGAAAAAGTGGAGAAATATTGGCCTGACATCAATGAGACTACAAACTATGGCGGTATCAAGGTCAAATTCGTGTCAGAAAAGGTTTTTGCCAATTTTGACTTACGTATTTTCATCGTCATCTACAGAAAGGAGCAACGTCAGGTCAGTAGTAGAAACGTACTTCTATTCAAACGAATTTTTTTTAATCATTACTCCACTCAATAAAGGGGTTGTAGACTGCGTGAGCAGGGACCTGAACGATATCTTTAGAAACTCATTCAATGAGTTTACAGAGTCAACAATTCGAGGCTAGCCATAGCATCATAGCGAGGAAATATTGCGCCTGGCTTGCTGAGCACGAAAAGCGTTGCGGCGCGGGACAAATAATATTGGAGCAAAACAATGAAAGCATCATTGGTACGTGAATACCCAATACCCTTAATTGGCGACAAATTATGTATCACGGGAAGGAGGTTAGTTGGTTGACATTCGAACTGTTCTCAGAATATGTACACTGAAAATGACCATCCTGTATCCTGTATATATATATAGGTATAGGTACGTCACAAACCTGACGGTTTCACATGATAATGTAAGTATGGTCTAGACATAGATCTAGATATGTATTTAGATCTATGGTTTAGATATGGTCTGGGAAACATGGACGTCGACAGGACATCCCTGTAATGTCATAAGACTAACGTCTTATTCCACTCTTCTAACCCACTAAACATGAAAACATTACCTGAACAAAAATGATATATTACATTGTGACTTTGTGATGTTATTCAGAGAGATGCTTAATGTCACAGATACGTTGCGGAAATAGGCCTTAGTGCCTCTTTTGAATATTACGATGTAATGTTGATGGTAAATATCATATAAATATATCGGGAATCACATAAAATCAATGTTACTTCATAACGTATATTCAATGTTACTCAAAACATCTAAACAATATTGTTAATTAACATTCTAATAAGTTTCTAGGAGTTTTTAGGTTAGGTATGTCTATTTTGTCTGGAATCAACAAGAGAATCATCTTCAGAAAGAAGATGATCTATCCCTGAATATGAATTGATCTTATCGTACTCCTGAAAGACTATAAGTATGATCCAGTTACACTGTGATATTTTGAGACAGATTAACTACTATCTTTCTAAGTATCATTTGAGTTATTTTGCTTCATAAATCCAGTCATATATCTAACTTAGCTATATATGATTTCTGCATAATCCGGTGATCTCTTACTGAAATTCTGAAAAGTAATATATTATACCTATACGAGTATTTGGAAGTTTCCTGAAGTAATTTGAAATTCTATTCTATTTTCTTTTTCTAGCTATGATATATAGCTCACCCATTATTTTTGTAATTCGTGAAATATGAACACAATCGGTATTCACGAATCCCTCTTTCTTTTTCATATATTATGAAATGCAGATACAGATTGGTTGCATTTCTATATTCCAGCAGAGCAAACCTGAAATCTAAGTGATTATCATGAGCAAATCATATTTTCTTCAGAACTTATTTGAGCCCAAGACTTCTTTAGTTCTTAAATTACTTTGATAACTACGAATAATATCTGAAAATAAATATTTTTAGTGATCACACTATTTGGCCTTGTCACATAGACAATAAACAAAATGGCTTGAATGGAATTGAATTGACTTTTGACAATTGACAAGGTTACTTTGCCGTAGAAGAAGAAATATCATCACCTTGTATCCTGTATACATGTAAGCTACGTTGTAAGGTGGTGAAACGAAAATGTTGCACAAATAACATGAAAACTCTGTCTGAGATATATCTGACAAACCAATATATCACAATATTATCTAATTATACTGATGTCAATATTGATGCAACGTCTCATAAACGTTTGACTTCATAATATTATGTTGGATACTTCAGAAGGACATTATCACAATGTTATATATTCCAACAATATCACAAAACTTATAACTGCACAATATTTTTGTTATGTATCATGTTCAGTGGGAAGTGACGTTCATTCGACGTCGAGATGATGACGTGATCAACACGTCATAGAAAGTACGTCATAGTGACTTCATGAAATGGTGTATGACGTCTCTGACAGAAAATCACCAATAAGGGACGTCACAGTGACGTGATCATTCGTCATCTGGTTGCCTGTGATTGGAGCGAAACAATGAAAGCATCATTGGTAGGTGAATACCCAAAACCCTCTATTGGCACCAAATTATTACCCTAATAGCACACAACATCCTAGGGACGTCCCTATTTGGTACAATTCACGTCCGAATGTCCCGAACCAAAAATAAGTGTCCTTGGGACGTCCCATCCCGTACATCTCATGCAATGTCCGAGCAAGGACGTCCACGGAATGTCCCAGCTGGTACATCATTTCAAATGTCCTAGAAATAGCATCCTTTAGACGTCCCACGTGGTACATCTTGTAGAATGTCCATGCAAGGACGTCCTTGGCATGTCCCTGATGGGATATGATTTTGAACGTTCCTTCAGGGACATCCATCGGATGGCATGACTTCAGATCTTATATAATGTCTCTTCTAGACAACCTTGAAATATCCCTGATGATACATTCCTTTAAATATCTCTGCACAGGCGCCCTTAATATTTCCAGGATTGTATAACAATCGAAATGTCTCTTAGGGACATCCTTCGGATGTCTCAATTGATACATAAACTGTTCTCTTCCAATGTCCTAGAAAAACCGTCCTATGGACGTCCCAGTCGGTACTTTCAATTTGTTGTCCCTGCGAGGACCTTAACTTACACCTCGCCGACGAATGATTGCTCGTAGGCTATAAGTACTCCTCGTCAATGTCCTTCACGTAAGTCCATTGGACATCCTTGGGAAACTTTTTGGGGACCTTCCACGGACCATCAACTTAACTGGATGTCCTTATCAGTTATGCAAGATCTGGTCCTAGAGGGACCCAGAAAAATTCAAATTCAAGAATAATTCGTACGTCCGTGGGACATCCTATGGACATCCAATTGATATCCCTCAGCGTTGCTGATAGGTTGTCCTATGGATGTCCTAAGGATGTCCTCTGTAGTGCTTGATGAGGAATACTGTAGGATTAAGGTATTCGATAGTCGTCCCAGGGACATCCCCCAAGTACGTCCCTAGTTGGTCCTCAAGTGGGATATTTGTGCGTCCCACAGACGTCCAATGGACGTCCACGGTACCAAATTCGAACGTCCTATGGACGTCCTGAATGTCCCGACAGGACGTCCTAAGGATATCCATGGGACATTATTGTGTTATTAGGGTATGTATCACCGGAAGGAAGTTATATAGTTGGTTGACATTCGAACTGTTCTCAGAATATGTACTCATTCAATTATAGGTTGATCTCCAAGTCTAGCGTTTCACGCTTCAAAAATGCAATCAAACTGTTGTGCAGAATGTTCGAAACAAAGAAAGCCCCATCTTGAAAAAAGTGAGAAAGTGTTTTCCTGTGATAAATGCGGACGGCAGTTCATCTGCCAGAGGAAGTTAACGGTTCATAAAAAGAAAATAATGTACTTACCAATTCATCTGCAAATGCTGTGAAGAAATCAGCTGATACCACATGTCCATTGTGCAGTGAAAAACTTTGAGTCAACAATTAGAGACTTCACATGACTTAACGTTGGTTGACGAAAATCTTGAATTTCCATCTTATGAAAAATTTACCGAATGGAAAAATAATATTGAAAAGAAAGAAGGAACTCACTTTATAATATATATATATACATAACAAATAAAGTTCATGTCAACATGTGTCCTAACTTGCTCCGTTTTTGAGATACAGGATGTTGAGGTAGGACGTATCAATTGTTTTTATTAATATCCTCCCTGTATAAGCTTTCATTGTGCCAAAATCCAGTATAGATGGGACTGAGAAAGCCCCAAAATTTCAGAATGATTCTAATTGGGGTTATTGAGTAATCTCAATGGAAGTCTTGAAAACACCTATACAATATAGTTTGGAGTCAAATCGAATTTTTATTATTTCGTCAAAAACTATTAGGCTAGATAAAGAAATCACACAAAGGATGGAAAAGTTGTTATTTCAATACTTCAATCTAATAAAAATATTGAACTCAGAAAAACTTGTGGCGTACATTCACCATGAATATCGATAAATTTACCCACTGTGACGCCACTGGAAATATTATTTCGAATCTAATTGCACTAGGAGAATCTCCATATTCCTATTCACAAAAACACCACGTTTCATTGGAATTGATGCAAAGACAATTGAGAAATGAATAGAAAAAATATTTTTCATGGAAATATTAATACCCTGTATCTCGAAAACGAAGCAAGTTAGGACATGTTTATATAAACATTATTTCCTAAAATATCACAAGGAATCACCACCTGAATTTTTCAGGTGTTATTTAGATACACCCTGTATATACAGTGTGACCCATTTAAGATGGAAGCACCCTTATAAAACTTACATTTTTCAACCGATTGGAATGATTTTTTTTTGTTAGGTAGATATTCAAAAAGTCTATTAGGACACCAAATATCATGAATGAATCTCCATTTCCAGGGCCAACTAATCTGATTTTTCAAGGTCAAAAATCTAAAAAAATTACTAGCGATTTTTTTAGAAAAAATCTGACTACACCACTGGATTTGTGACATTTTCAAATGGGTAACATGTAAATTACGTTGAAATGCGTCAATCAATAGAAAAGTTATAAAGGAATGAAATTTGAAAAATATGCCGTTTAATCAACCCATCAATTTTTATTACTGAACAGATTTCGATGAAACTGTGATCAGTAATATTTCAAGACATCCTGAATCCAGTGGAGTATACAGAATTTTCATAAAATTCCTGAACATGAATTGGTGGGTTGATTAAACGGCATATTTTTCAAATTTCATTCCGTTATAACTTTTTTATTGATTGACGCATTTCAACGTAATTTACATGTTACCCATTTGAAAATGTCACAAATCCAGTGGTGTAGTCAGACTTTTTCTAAAAAAATCGCTAGTAATTTTTTTAGATTTTTGACCTTGAAAAATCAGATTAGTTGGCCCTGGAAATGGAGATTTATTCATGATATTTGGTGTCCTAATAGACTTTTTGAATATCTACCTAACAAAAAAAAATCATTCCAATCGGTTGAAAAATGTAAGTTTTATAAGGGTGCTTCCATCTTAAATGGGTCACACTGTATATATATATATATAGAGAGAGAAGGGAAGTCGTTGCTGACAAGTTAGAGATGAAACTTAGTAGTGGGGAAGCAGCAAGTAAAAGTGAAACTCATGCAAGTTCGTCCAAGCTTTCGGAAAGTTATATTTCCATCATCAGGGCCAGACTACAAAATGTTATAACAATTATAAGCAAAGCTAGTTGACTAAGTGGTGCAGTACTTACAACTCATTGAGGTTGGTTACATTGAATTTGGAATATCTCCTAAATTCTATGCACTGCCAAAAATACATAAACCAACTTTGTCAGTCAGGCCAATAGTGGCATCAATAGGAGCACCCACTGAAGCTATTGCAGCTTACCTTACAGATATTTTGACAAGAGCTTATGATCAAGACAATCAGTATTACATAAAAGATTCTTTTGAGTTATCAGAAAAATTCAACAAAATAAAACTCCCACAGAGACATGTCTTAGCAAGCTTAGATGTTGTGTCACTTTTTAGCAATGTCTATTTAGATGCTTGCTTGAGATCAATTGAAAAAAATTGGTCACGTATCAATAACTACTGTACAATCACTAAAGAGTCGTTCCTAGATCTCATCACTTTTTTATTCAATAATACATATTTCTCATTCAACAACAAATTTTATAAACAAACTTTTGGCAATCCGATGGGTGCATCAATTTCACCAATTCTCGCTGCCTATGTAATGGATGACCTGTTAGACACAGTAATTCCAGTGATATCATTTGATCTTTTTTTCATAAAAAAATATGTGGACGACATCATCCTTTCACTTCCTGAAGATGGTATAGAAGAAATTCTGTTTACCTTTAATAGCTATGATCCAGCAATTCAATTCACCATTGAAACTGAAGATACGGACAGAGCTGTCCCATTCCTTGATACCAGACTAGTGAGATCGAGGGACAATATAGTCCTAATCGATTGGTATCGCAAATCTTGCAGTTCAGGCAGATTTCTCAACTACAACTCGTTCCACCAACAGAACATGAAGGTGAATTTGTTAAAACAAATGAAGAACAGGATAATCAGAATTTCTGATACATCATTTCACAGGAAGAATTTAAATATTTTACAATCTTTATTCATAGAAAATTCATATCCACCACAATTAGTCAAAAAAATTCTACACAGTGCACCCATGACACAGACAACTCCACCTGAAATCAACATTCAATTGCATGAGACTGTGGTTACTGATACTCCTCCAATACATACAATTTTTTCTTCACTTCCGTACATATCAGATTTAACTCCAAAACTCACAAGAATTTTTCTTCCAAATCCTAACCTAAAAATTGCCAATAAAACATTTTTAACAATTAGATCAATTTACACCAAAGTCAAAGACAAAGTACCTCTTACTGCACAGACGAATGTGGTGTACAGCATCCCCTGTCAGGATTGTGATAAAATATACATCGGGCAATCAAAGAGATCATTAGCCAACAGAATCACATCCCACAGGAGCGACTGTAGGCTTCATCCAGAAAGATGTGCTTTGGCGGACCATGTTAATTCCTCTGATCACAAAATGGATTTTCAATCAGCAAGAATTTTAGCTACAGAAAGTAACCACAAAAAAAGAACTTTTTTGGAAATGTCTTTCATTGCCCAAGAACCAAATTGTATCAACAAAAGATCGGACATTAACCATCTTAGCGAAATTTATTCATATCTTTTATCAATTGATAACCCTAATACGGTGTTAAATAATAGCAACTCAACATAACCAACAATAAACAACTTTTTTAATAATCTTGATGTGATGCACATATTGCCTGCAAGGATATTACCCGTTTTACTAGTAGCTCAAAAACTTTCTCCTTCCAATACTCTTGTGACTAACACACAATAGCACTAGGTACCATAAGACCAAGGTCATCACACTTAAGCTCCATGTCACCAGTGAATTGGAAGAATAAGGTTCAGTTTTCCTAACCAAAGATTTTTATTCTGACACACGTTGTGAAAAGAAAAGTTTCATCATTATTTTAAATCAACAACGTTTTTGATATTGACCTAATATTTTAATTTTTTGAATTTGTCATGTTCCAGATATGTTATACAAACATTTTTTTATTTAAACATCACTTGTTAGTAACATCAATGTAACCAACCTCAATGAGTTGTAAGTACTGCACCACTTAGTCAACTAGCTTTGCTTATAATTGTTATAACATTTTGTAGTCTGGCCCTGATGATGGAAATATAACTTTCCGAAAGCTTGGACGAACTTGCATGAGTTTCACTTTTACTTGCTGCTTCCCCACTACTAAGTTTCATATATATATATATATATATTTGAAGGAAGGAGAATAACGTCCAGATAAAAGAGACAATATTTTCACTGTCATCGCTCGGGAAATTTTCACTCGACGAGCACTGGAAAGAGGAAAGTGACCATGGATAGTATTACTGGTACCTACATGCAGAATGGTTTGAACAAAACGCATATTAAACATGAGAACGAACTATGTTATCTAACAATGACTTAGAAGCAAGCAATTTTCGAATTCAATGATTATTTCGATAAATTATGTTGATTCAGTCGTCGAGGAATTGGAAATCTTGAAAAAAATCACTGCGCCGGCTAAGGCTACAGCGGATGCTTTGCGTAGGTTCAAAGAGAACGTTATTTATATTCAATCTACTCTTGAGCGATATAGTCAACCTAAATCGATTTTGCCGCGAAGACGACTTATTTCAACGAAAAAGAAGAAAAAACTTCAAAATGGAAAATTTCGAAACCTGATGCAGGAGAATCAGAGACGATTGCATTGAATTTGATCCTGAACAGGAAATTATAATTTTGATTGTATACAGAGTGATTCACGGTGAGGACACATTAGACGTTTCTGGTGAACCAGACATCGGATCACTTTGAAATTTTGATCTATAGTATAATCGGACATCCTCTGACCATCTAAAATATTTCCAACAATTCGGTATTGCCACTTCTATTGGAAAGTAGTAGCAACTGATATTTGAAAGGCGGCACCCCTGTATTTCATTGCATTTTCTGATTTTATCTGAGAAACTGATTTCATCAAATCATCACACTTGGGGTCTAGCAAGAATGATAACAGATATATGAGGTGTTCAAAATCGAGTTTTTTTAACTTCAGAATTTTTTTGTGTCGAAACAATTTATTATTGTTCAAAATGGCTCACATTTCTCTATCTTTACTTTTTATTTACTATCTACCGACATTTAGTTCGAACTGCTTCGAGGTGAATGAAGATTCAAAATTTTAATCACTCTGTATTCGTCCCAATCAGATGCCAGTAGTGAATCAAGATTTAAGATATTAACATTTAAGCCGATTCAACCAATAATGAATTGTTTCGACGAAAAAACTCCTATAGTTGAAAAATCCCGATTTGGTACACCATCTCTGTAGTCATTCCCGCTAGAACCCAAGTGATGGAATCAGCTCGTCAGGAAGAATCTAAAAATGCAATGAAATACAGGGTGTTTCATTAAAAATATAAAAGTTGCTACTACTTTCTGATAGAAGTGGCAACACCACATTGTCGAAAATATATTCTAGGTAGTTATTTGAATAATGTCAGTTTATAATATTTATCAAATTTTCAAAGTGATTCGATGTTTGTTTCACCAGCAACGTCTAATGTGCCCTCACCGTGAATCACCCTGTCTGATGCACTACAGCTAGGAGTCTTCTCGTTTATTTTTGACCGCCCCCTCAACTTAGTTTATCAGAATCCAATTGTTTTTTTTTCTGTTCGAAATTTTATTTCCATTTTCATAATTTCTCATTTTCTAGCCCGGGTTTCATTAGCAGGTGGTAGGAGATGGATCAAACATAACAACGGCGAAGTCCACATCCAAAGATTTCGAGAAAAACATGGAGAACAGGGTATTCCTCTTGAAGAGAAATGGGTTTGTTGTAAATTATGGTTCTTGGTATCACCCTGAAAAATTTATGATCAGGTCTGTGAAAGTTCCTCATCGCGATATTTTTTGTTGAGAAATAACGTGTGCCTCTTCGATATATTTGTAGATAACCCAGTACATTCACATTCTTGGAGAACATTTAATTCCCTATATTTGCTCTGAAGGAATTTCTCTCTGAATCTAATCGCTCAGACAATATAAAACTTGTTTGATGGAAAATGTATGATAATAATATTTTATTTGGAAATTCAAACTCTCCGGAGCGTACAGTCAAATTATGGTTGGAAATTTGAAATCAGTGTATTGGGAGAAAGCTGAAAGACAAATTTTATCAGCTCAAATCATTTGATATTAGGATTTTTCTACGTCGAAATATAAGATTTAATCCTAAAACCGGAACCTTCATACTGCCCCTCCTCTTCCGGCTTACCTCATAGACGTCAGGACTTTCAGGATGTTCACTCTCTATTCACCTGAAACAGGTTTTTGAAGAAATCGCTTAGGTCACTGCTCACTCACACTACACACTTTTGGATCATTCTTTGATTCACTACTTTCACTCAGAACATAATGTATATAGACCTCAGCTGACTAATGATCCAAAATCATATAGAGAAACAATTCCTCACTTCATGTCACAAGAAGTGATTCAATATAATTCAATGATACCTATAAATACCTACCATTTTTCGTTATATTTTTCAAGTTGGAGCAGTTACACTTCACTAGTTGGCCGGATCATGGGGTACCACTATATCCACAAACTCTGGCACCATTTCTTCAAAGAATGTTGAGAATTCCCTATAACCCACCGTCTCCCATCTTGGTGCATTGTAGGTGAGTAACTTGAACGAATTATTTTATTTTATTTTAATTTTATTCGAAGACTATCTTAAAAACACAGGAGAGGTAGTCACAAGAATAAGAGTGTTAGCCTAACGATTAATGCTATAGATACTTCCTAAACTAGTAAGTATATCCTATCCTGAAACAACAGACTCACACGTGACATATTTCATAAACACAGAGACATATCGCTTACAGAAATGATGTCTTTTTATTTTTATATTCTAAGCAACATCATGCCCAGATGTTAACATGTTGACACTGCAAACCCCTAGGAATTTATTGCACTGTTTCAAAATATGAGTGAACGATAAACAATCGGATAGATTCACATGAAATACCTTCCCACTGTTATTTCTAAGATCAATTTCAGGAACCAACATATTTACATTGTTCATAAGTATATTCTTGTACTTTATACTATTGATTATACAAAAAATTAACAGTACTGCTTCACACTTTAGGGTTACAAAGTTGAAACATTCAAGCATAGAGCTATATGAAATCTTATATGCATAAAAGTTTTTTTTCTTGACATACACATACCTTAAAAATCTGTCTTGTACTTTTTCTAAATGCTCAATATTGACATCAACTTGTGGTGACCAGATCACTGAGGCATATTCTAGACGTGGCCCTGAAATATTCAGTATTCCTAATAACAAAACCTGAGACTTTGTAGGCTTTATTCAGGATGTGATTATAATGTTCATTGAATTCAAGGTTTGATTGCATGCAGATATACACCTAGGTCTTTACACTCATTTTTTCTAGTTAGTTCAGTGTCAGCAATAGAATATGAAGATTATATAAAATTGGTTTCACGGGTAGATGTCATAACAGCACATTCATCAAAATTCAGGAACATTTTGTTCATAGTGTACCATTTATGTACAGGTTGGGACAAATTGGTCACTTTCAAAGGGAAATTCCTATTCTCCAACTAGATAGAAGAAAACGGATGTCGGTACCTGAGGGTCGATCCTCATGCAAGACTCAATGGTGAAAACTACATATCGATATCTGTCTTCGTTTCGTAGTTACAAGGTGTTATTCGAAAATGGGCATTCTCGAAAAGTGACTATACAACAATTTTTTTGACAAAAATTGTATTTTCTCATGAAAATAACTGCAAAGCATTGAGTTATTTGTGATAACAATCATTCCTGAGGCACTGGAATCTGCCTTCCTATATCATATGTTCAAGAATATAACTTGTTCTTCTTGAAGGTGAAGTTCTGTTCTGAATCTAGGTATATGGTGACTGATTTCAGTTCCTGAGGATCAAGTTCCATGACAAAAACAATGTTTTGAAAAGGTTCTAATGAAAACGAATAATTTTTGACAAACAAATGAGTTTCAGCCACTTTTCAAAAATTCATATTCAACTCTGAAACGAAGATAGATATATGCAGTTCTCACCATTGAGTTTTTCATGTGGATTGATCGACAGGTACCAACATCAGTTTTGCTCTATCTAGTACGGGAATACGACTGTCCAATTTGACCGACCCTGTGTACCTACTGTTTAACTCATTTTTGAAAAGGTTAATATCATCATTTTTGATAAGCTTATACATTTTGAAGTCGTCAGAAAATATTTAATATGCGGAATTGTTGAGGCAATCTGGCAAATCATAAATTAATATTGCAAAAAGCAAGTGCCCTAGGTACCCAGGTAGCACAGGTTAGTGGAATGACGTCATAATGACGTCTTTTTTAGGTCATTATTGGTCAATGACGTCCTCGACTTCAGAGGGACCTACAAATGACGTCATATTTCATGACGTCTTATTGACGTTCAATATTGGACGTCTTAATGACGTCCCTACAAAGTCGTATATTCGACCAAATAAGAAAAATCAGTCGCTTTCTTACTTCATCATCGTTTGTTAATTGTACTTACTAAATTTGTGTTTGTATATAGAGTGTTTTCGTGAGTACTGATGAACAAGTTTATTTTCAGCCAAATTATGCATTTTTGAGGAATCTGCTGAAAACGGTCGATTTTCATTTTCAATTTGCCATATATTTATGAGAAAAATTGAATATACATACATGATGATCCACGTTTGAGTTATGACCATAACGACAATTTTTTTAAATAAAGCACCCTATACATATATATTACTCAATCATTGGAATAACCATGGGAAGCGGAATTCGAAAATGTTTAACACAATCATGTGGATTGTATAGGTAAAGTGCGTCCTATAAATTAGATGCTCTTGTGAAGTAGTCGATAAATTCATTATTATCCAATATCTATCTAGCTATCTTATATATTTCTGAGAAAACAGGAGAGGCTTTTATCTCTAATTCGTCATTTATACGGAGGAATCATCAAATATACAGGATGATACACGTTTGTATTATGACGTACACGACACATTTTTCAAACGGATATATATTATTGAATTTTCGTAATCAAATGTATATCGCACAAAGGGTTTTGTATACAGGGCGTTCGTTAAATTCAGTTCTCTCGTAAAATTGGATCGCCATTAAAATATATAGATGACGTAATTTCTCCTACACAAATCATTCTGTATATATTGATTTAATATGAGATAAAGCTTGAATGAAAATAAAATTCTACGGCTTCGAGCATTATTCTCTGAAAAAAAAAATGTTTTTTTAATTTTCAACAAATTTATTCGCAACTTCGCAAAAGAACTTAATTCAACGAACGCACTGTATACAGACTCATATATTTTTGAATCCAGCTTTAAATAGAGACTCCAAAAATCGAATAATTTATACGGTGTTCCTTTGAAAAAATGGTCGCGGATGTTGTAACTCTCAAACTTGAATCACCCTGTATATTCAATTTTTTCTCAATATTGTTGGTAATTTAAAATAAAAATCGACCTATTTTGGGAGATTCCTCAGCAAGGAATTGTATGGTTATAATAGTACATTGATTGCATGGCTACTTTATTTTCTTCACGCGAGATGACTCAATTTAACGGACACACTGTATACAAACCCTATGTGTAATATATTTTTGAATTCAGATTTCCATGAATATTTCAAAAATTGAATGTATCTTATATAGGTTATTATTATTGTTTCCAATTGAAAAAATTGCCGCGGACGTCTTAACTTAAACGTGGATCACCCTGTATATATATGATTCTTACTTTCAAATGTGGCAAATCGGAAATAAAATCGACCTGCTGCAGAGGATTTTCCAGAAATGGATAGTTTAGCTAAAAATAAGTTTAATAGCTTACATCTCGCCGACGCTCGCTACATAATTTTAGGTACAAATACGAGTAGCTAACGATATTCTCATATAGAGATTCATAGGTAGTAGCGATAGCGCTAGGATTCAACAGGACTGCCCGGGAGGACCATCAACCAAGTTACCACAACGTATAGTTACAAAATGAATGTCATCAAAGGTTTGTGGTGTATTATCATGTACCAATAATACCGTATATATATAAACCTCCTAATTTTTTTTATTTCGTCCTTTATTGGTCATTCTGCGACGTCATTATGACGTCTAAGTATGACGTCATATGGCTGTGACATTTTGACGTCATTATAGGGTCTCTCAGACGTCATTTTTGGACGTCAACTTCGTCATTTTATGACCAAAAAATGACGTCAATTGGACGTCACTCTGCTACCTGGGTAGTACCTTGCGGTACTTCTGATGTTTCTTGGAATTCAGTAGATGAAGACTTCCCTTATTTAACCTGGTGATATCTTCAAGATAAGTAGGATTCCATAAAATTCATTTTATTCCATAATATACCATGGTCCACTTTATCGAAGGCCTTCGCACAGTCAGTAAGTATGCATGAGATCTAGCTGTGATATTCGATGCTGTAATTTAGAATTCATTGCCTTTGCTGCAGCGTGGGTAATTCCTTTCAGGTTTGTTACTGTCGATCGATCAGGCAAGAAGCCATGGTGTTGTGTAGCAGATTTATTTATTATATTATATTACTAATAGGCATATAATTTTCTACACACATTCCATACTTTGTCCTAAATACCGGCGTGATTACTTGAGAACACATTCTTTCTTATTTATAAATTGAAAAGTTAGGTTAGTGGCTTGATGAAAACTTCCAAGCACCTTTTGAAAATGTATGATGGTATGTTATGTTTTCTCGTTGCATTCTTGTCTTTTCAATTATTTCATACTATTACTGACTACCTCTTCTGTTATAGTTGAGAACTGAATAAAATAACCATGTTGTGAATACCATTGGATATTTCAGAGCTCTCATAGACTGAACTGAAATACTGTGCAAAGGCATATTTGCTATGTCATATTGATTTGTGTACCCACTATCCATTTATTGCATCGTTGGAGGTATACCACTAGACTAGTATTCCTTTCTCAAAATCAATATATTCCCAAAAACTACTGGGATCCATTGAAATATCATTTTCCACAATTTGTTGATGAGCTGCATACTCATTCTCAGTTGGTATTTTGATGCTACCACTAAGATCACGACACATTTGTATATTATTTCATGTTAGCAGTCCCTTTCCGAACTCCTCTTTAGTTTCATGCAAATTTGCCCAGTTGGTTGATTCAATCAGTTTATATATAGTGAATGGTAATCACCTTTGAAGTTTACTAACATTAAAATATTATCACTATGCAATGCTAATTGCTCAACAATGTCTAGAAAGTATACCAAATCTTGGACTGTTGTCTTGGGTGGTTCATTAACATTAAATAAGTAAATAAAGCGCTTTTCCGCTTTTATTTTCACTAGTAACCACTCAATTCCATTAGGGAATTGTAGGTCTATTATTTCCATTGGAATATCTTTTTTTGTGGTCACAAGCAAACCCCCTCCTCTTGTTTTTTCATTATTTCTATCCCTTCTGACAATGCTATATATCTATCATCAAACAATTCAGCATCTTCAAAGCTTACTGTGAGCCATGTCTCTCGATACAATAACATCATAATTTTCTATCACCACATGTGCATATAAAACATGAACTTCGGTCCTAAGACCACTTACATTTTGATCAAAAAAATGCAAATTGCTCTTTTTATTTACACCCTGATGATCTTTCAGTCTTGTGTCACTGAAGAGTCCCTCTGATCTGACGGCACCCTCTTCCGGGAGAAAAACCGAGAAACTACTGCCCCATTTGACCAAATTTCTCGTTGCCATGCTTTCCTTCAGATCTTCCTGTCTAATTGTAACCTTGAGTGAGACATAAAATTCTGGATGTTCCGACTGATGCATTTCACATCTCACATCTGTAAATTTTGGTTGGAGGAATTTTTGTAACTGATCAGCGGTTGTATCTGATGGAGAAAGTATTGTTACATGGAGGTAGCAAAATTTTGGAACTGCATGAACCTCAACTCTTTCCACATTTTCTGACAACGTGGTGTTTCAGAAAAAGGTTGCATTATTATTTGTTACAACATCATTTCCTAATCTGAATATTTCGAGAACTAATCACTGCATCGAGTGTTACCAAGAGTACCTTCCTTCTTTTCCATTGTGGAATTGGATGATGTTTGAGCTAACATTGAATTCGAAAAGAAAATAATTACCTCGAAGAAGTTATGTTCAAAAGTCCTCGGTAAGAACCGGATACCTAACCAGCGCCATATATGAGAGTCAGATATACCACAGTATACATAAGAATAAAATTCATGAGATGTGTCAGGTTCCAGAATCACATTCTCATATATATATGCAGAATATCATTACAATAATGTTGCCAGTAGTTTTGACATGATCGATATCCTAGTAACGAAGCGACATTTTCCAACAATAAGTATCGCTAATTGCAGTAGTGTGATATAATAATCGATAAGTTGGTCAACAGCATTAATGGAACTATGGAAATGCATCAATATCCGTGATGAAACTGATGAAAGTGAGTTTGAGCTTTTTTTCCTATAGTGCCGGCGTTGGTCGTACAGGCATCATCATCCTGTGCGACATTTGTCTGCGCATGGCTGCTGGAGAGAACGCCATGGATTTCCTAGCCTACTTAGAAATTCTGCAAGAACAACGCCCTTCTATGTTAGAAAATGCAGAACAGTACACATTTGCCCATTTGGTGGTGCTAGAATGCCTTTTTAGCATGCGCACAGCGGTGCCATGTTCCAAGGTGAGAATTTCGTAGTATGTAGTTACTTTTTGACTAAATAAATCATGGAATGGGCCTTTTCAGTCATTTATAGAAAAAATATTTCTCGGAATATATGGCACTTGAGATTTTTTTCCATCAATTCATCGTATGAAGAATTATTGAAAACGTCATAATGAACGAGCGAATTCTAAAGATCAGGCATGGCCGCGAAACGTGTGACGTCAGTGCGCGATTGGTGATTTCCTCACCTTCTCGCCAATAAAATGACTAGCGTCTGGAGAAAGGAGGATGTAAATGACCAACGTAGCGGGACTAGCGGGAGAACCCCGCCAAGCCCGATAGTGTAGTTTGTTAATGGCGGGTACAAATCACCTAGCGACGTGAGGAAAGAACGTAAGAGCGAAGGTGCGAAACAATATTATAATATTATTATTGGTAGAAATAGCCAATACCTTCAATTGGCGCCGAATTATGTATCAAGGGAAGGGGTGTATAGTCGGTTGACATTCAATTATAGTTATAGTTTGGTCTGCGTGTGTTGCACACATAAAAATAAAAATGGAATCGAACTGTTGTGCAGAATAATGTACAAAAACGTTCAGCACATTTCAACATCTTAGAAGGCATTGTTTGAAGTCTCATCCAAATAAAATAGCCCCATCAAAAAAAGTGGGAAAGTGTATAAACTTTCCTGTGAGAGATGCGGGTGCAAGTTCAACAAAGAAAAAGATTTTAGAGCTCACAAAAAAAAATGTTTCAATTTACCTGCGGATAGTGCGGTGGAATCATTATCTGATTTTCCATTGTGCAGTGAAAACATTTTGAGAGATCAATTCGAGAATCATTCAGAGAATTCGCATGAGTTAACGTTGGTTAAGAGGAGAGATTCAACCAAATCGACATGCAGGCCTTCACTAGATGTTGCTATATGGGCTTATGAATGATTCAATTGAAAAACTGATTAAATCATCGTAAAGAAGAAGGTTGGGACTAGGGCCTGGTTATCATACGGAGTCGAAACTCATTTATTTATAGAAGATACAGATTTTTGAAAAACGTAAACATTGAATTTTTTTTGTCTCAAATTGAAATATTTTCGATCTCAGTACAATTGTTGGAAATTCGGCAAGGTGTCACTGGAATATCAGCTCTTGAAATGTTTCCATTCGGACAGGAAGCAACAAAAACGATTATTCTGTCAACAAAATATCCATTCATCCCAGCTGATCTCGGTAAACTCCATTTCTTGAAAGAATGTAATGCAGGAAACTAGGATGTGGTAGTTCAGGCACTACCTGATAGATGGCAGTGTTCGAAATGACAGACTGCGGCAGAGAGGAATGGTGCATTGTATTGCAAGCAGATGGCGCTTAGGAGAGATGATGAATTCAAACCCGTTTACACCGTTGCCAATGTTATACATATTACTCGGACATATTATGAAATCTAGGCGACGTGATAATACAGAGGGTATTATTCAATTATCTGGGCATATTTCAAGGGGAGGTTCTCCGAGTGTTTGTAAGACGAACAAATCTAATATATAAAATTCTCCTGTCACGGTCACGGTCATAGTGGTCGAACTCCTCCGAAACGGCTCGACCGATTCGTATGAAATTTTTTGTGCGTATTCGGTAGGTATGAGAATCGGTCGTAATCTATTTTTTAAATAGAAAATACAAAATGGCGGATCCAATATGGCGACCGAGTATAGTTATCCGATTTCATTCAAAATTGGTACTCAGGGGTTTTCGGGGTCGGAGATTATGAATATTTCGTCAAATTTTGGAAATTCAAGATGGCGGATCCAATATGGCGGACGAGCTTTGTAATTATGGTCAGATTCCATCCAAAATTGGTATCTGGGGGTTTTCGAGGTCGGAGATTATGATTTCTTCATCGAAATAAGGGAATTCAAATGGTGGATCCAATATGGCGGACGAGTTTTGTAATTATTTTTTTTATCGCTTGGAGCGCACGAAAGGAAATCCCTATAATGTTCAAAGAACATCGTGCGTTCCTAGGGAGGATAGGGACAGGAGGTAGGTATTGGAGTTTTTTTCTTAACTTCTGGAGATTATATGTTGTTGGGAATACTTCCTCGGGCACTGAATTCCAGAGCCTAGCCGTTCTATGGATGAAGGAGTTTTGATAAAGTGCTGTTCGACATCTTTCGAGGTTGACAACGAAAGGATGTGCTGACTGGGCTTGTCTACTTCGTCTGGTATTGCTAGTGGAGGGATGATAGCCATTTCCCGTGGAAGTATCGATAGAAAAGTGAAAGGTCGCCGACCTTTCTACGGTGTTCCAATGATGTCAAAGAGTGAGTGAGTGTGGCGTCACCCACCAGGCGAATGGCTCTTCTCTGGATGGAATCTAAGAGCATCAGCGTATGTTTTGGTGCTGAACAGAACAGATTGGTCAGATATCATTCAAAATTGGTATCTGGTGGTTTTCGAGGTCAGGGATTATGATTTTTTATCAAAATTAGGAAATTCGAAATGGCGGATCCAATATGGCGGACGAGTTTTGTAATTATGGTCAGATTCTATTCAAAATTGGTATCTGGAGGTTTTAGAGGTCGTAGATAATTATGAATCATTTGTCAAAATGGGGAAATTCAAAATGGTGGATCCAATATGGTGGAAGAGTTTTTTAATTATTATGATCAGATTCTATGTAAAATTGGTATCGGGGGGTTTTCGGAGTCGAAAATAATGATCCTTTTATCAAAATTTGGAAATCCAAGATGGCAGATTCAATATGGCTGACGAGTTTTGTAACTTAATCCGATTCCATTCCAAATTTGTATATGGGGGATTTTGGGATGGGAGATTATGATTGTTCATCAAAATAAGGAAATTGAAGATGGAGGATGGCAACTGAGTTTTGTAGTTATGATCCGATTCTATTCAAAATTTGTATCTGGGTGTTTTCGGGGTCGGAGAAGAATTAGAAAACAAATGAATATAAGTATGTTGATAAATATTTAACTAAAAAAATATTTTCTGGAAATAATTGTATATAGCAGAACAACGTTTGCCGGGTATCAGCTATTGTAATAAATATTAGTTTTAAAAACTAATGAAACACCTTTTTATAGATAGCCATACTAAAAAGAAGTGAGTAGAAAATAAAGAGTAGTTTGAAAAAATGAAGAGGTATAGAGAACCGAACTAAAAAGAACTAGAAAATAAATAGAGTAGTTTGAAACGGCCTAGAATTTGTCACTGAATTATAATTATATAAGTAGACCTGAAAATTTAAACATACAAATTCAGCAGAATTTCTTCAATTCTATTCATGAGATCGATAATTATGTCAGCATATAGATGGAAATAATAGGAATGGCACAGTTGTGGAACAAACTTCAAAAAGCTTTGTTGATCTGTGTCAAAAGTTCAGGTTATTTCACTCTAAAACTCATGCAAAAACATTCGTCTCAGAACTCTCAGAGTACAGTTCTCAGATTTTGGATCCATTGATATGGCGATATTCACAAAGGATAATACCGCCACGGCAACAAAACAAAACTGAGCGAGAAATCGTTATATGTCTCTCTCCCTCCCGCGGCCAACCGGGGGGATATTCATTGGTCGCGCGGTGATTCCCCGTCTTTCCGCAGTCCGCCACGTGCCCTTTGAATTGCGTGAACTTCAGATGAACTTCAAACTAACCGGCATATAATCAATAATTGAAAAGCCAGTGTTGCAAGCTGCTGCAAATGATATGTCGCAAAAATTCATAAGAATGGGCAGAAAAGCGAGGCAACAGGAAAGTCAGCCACATACGAAATATTTGAAAATATAGCAGCCGCTTTTTTTTCGAGACATTTGGAGACGTTATCGAACATCCAGTTCATGTTTTAGAGAATTATCGTAGGTAGATACTTCATATTCCACTTACATCTTCTTTGGGGAAGATTTTTGAAATTCAATGAATTCCGTGATATTAAAATTTTCTTTGAAATATATACAGGGTTATTCATTCAAAACGGTCAATGTGTGAGCTAGAAATAGTAAACATCAGAATATCAAGATTCAGCCTCACATCTCACATCTCACATAGAAAATGTTGTTAGTTTTGGAGAAACAGGGTGTACAAGGAAAATATTTTATTTTGAAATTCCTCATACAATAACTTTGTAAGTTTTAAATCACCATGAAAATGGTCAATGTGTGAGCTAGAAATAGTAAACATCAGAATATCAAGATGCAGCCTCACATCTCTCATAGAAAATGTTGTTAGTTTTGGAGAAACAGGTTGTTCAAGAAAAATATTTCATTTTAAAATTCCTCATACAATAACTTTGTGAGTTTTATATCAGCATGAACATAATTTTCTTATATTTTTTTCATTATAATTCGATTTTTAAATGATTTAAAAAAAGTTGACCATTAAAACAAAATGGATTGTGAGATATAGAAAGCATATGACGGCAAATCAATTTCTCACCGTTATGTTGAAGACCGAAACCAGGGAATCCTGGAAACTTTGGTACGATATAATCACACTCACACTATACACTGTTTTATCACTATCAAACAGAATTTTTATCAACTCGACAAACTTTATTACCTAAAAACATTCGCTGTCTAAGATAGACTAACAAAAACTTTTGAGATGGTGTTCGCTTGAATCTCCTAATTCTGACAAATGTTTCAAAATCTCCGACCCCTGAAACACCAGTAAAAATTTTGAATAGAATCGGATAATAAAATTAGAAAACTTGTCCGCTTTAATGGATCTGCAATCCTGAATTTCCCAATTTTGACGATAGAATCATAATCTCCGACCCCAAACACCCTTATATATAAATTTTGAATAGGATAGAATCATCATCACATAACTCGTCCGCCATATTGAATCCGTCATCTTGAATTTTTTCATTTCGGGATTCATAATCTCCGACCCCAAAAAACCCCAGATACAAATTTCAAATGGCATAGAATCATAATTACGAAACTCGTGCGCCATATTGGTGGAGTCATGATGAAAGAATCATAATCTCAGACGCCGAGAACCCCCAGACACCAATTTTGAATAGAATGGGATCATAATTATTATAAATAAAACTCGTCAGCCATCTTCAATATCCTAATTTTCACGAAAGAATCATAATCTCCGACCCCGAAAACCTCCATATACCAATTTAGAATAGAATCTAATCATAATTACAAAATCCTACATAATATAAGATGAGATGCGATACTGCACCCTTCAAATTTATTGCTATTCATTGACCTCGCGATAACGGGACACGGAAAGGGGTCGTGACGATGACGCGAAATCCAATGTTTTTCTCCACCCAAAAAAGTGCTCAACGCGCCTAGAAGTTCTCACTTCGAAAATATTGTTTTTTTCATAAGTGCAATTGTGATCGAAATTTGTATTTCAGCAAGCAGGTCTGAATTAGAGAACATGAAATTTGAATCAAGGATTTCTTTCATTCTACACACTGTATATATCAATATAACCCTTATATCAGTAATAGCAGTGTGAATTCGTAAGAATGAAGATATTTGAAACTAGGCAATCGTCTACGTATATACCCTATACAGAAAACACGAAATTTCTATTTATAGCCATCTGAACTTGATAAAAAATCTTGCACACATTATTTCTGAATTACACAGACTATTTTGAGTATTTTGCCCTGAACAATGATTTCGATCCCCATCCTTGGAAGTTTTTCTGGCGACGCCAATAATGATAAGTTATATTAGTAGGAAATGAAATTAAAAAGGAAAAGAAATATTCGAAAGACTATTTGTGAAGACAGTTTCAAAAATGACTCATGACATAAATTTTCATTGTAGCGAGATATAGGTATTTGCTTGACTTGAATGGAGTGAAAAGTGGAATCATGTTGAGCAGGCCCGTGGAGCAGTAGCTCTGGCAACACTGCACGTACATAATACAATTACCTACGATTGCATTCAATTGTGTGCCACCTATTGGTGACCTGCTGTAACAGACGAAATCGAAGAACTCTACAATAGCTGTGAAAGCTGTAATTTAATTATTTTATTCCGATTTCGACATCACACTGACACCTAGAAATAGTTGTTGAACTAGTATATATATATAGGCTATATTCGGTCGGAAAGCTGTCGCGAAAGGCCCGCCTTAAGGAAAATCTTGAAATTCCATCCTATGAACAATTTATCGAATGGAAGAACGACTTAGAACTGAAAGATAGAACTCGTTTCGTCAAGAATTCCGGAACGAAAAGATCGTCCAGATCAGAGATACAATATTTTCATTGTCATCGCTCGGGATATTTCCACTCAAAGAGCACTGGAAAAAGGCAAGTTAAAATACAGGGCAGCAACAAAATCAATTCAAATTGTCCTGCTCCCAATAAAGTGGTACATGCATTTACGTGAAAACGCATGTTGGACATAATAACCTATCCTAACCTAACCATAAATGAGAAGCAACGTCAAGCCTTAGCTGCCAAAATTGCCCAGAACATACCCTTCAGTGACATTTTGGATGAGGAAAGTGGACACGAAATAATATTAGAAATACGAATACTGGGTGTGAGTCAGGTATATAGGTGCTTGTAACACGATCTAGGTATATTCGGATAGTTTCTATAAGGTCGAGAGTATCTCTGTAATATGTATTTTATGAATACCTATATATATCCTAATTTCATTTCCTTTAATGGCTTCAACCCCCAAATCCAATCCATATCGGTTCTCAAAGAGTCAGTTTCATGTTATCAGTATCTACGATTCAAAGACAACATAACATGCAATAACATGTATAATCAGCTGAGCGTCGCTAGGTGATGAGCACAGGTAATCTTTGCCCGCGCTTGCCGCTGTTCTCCCGCTACGTTGGTCATTTACATCCTCCTGTCTCCAGACGCTAGTATAAAATGCACAATGAACTTGACAATGTTATTCTTCGATTTCATCATTTCTGCAAATTATACAGATGCTGTTAGATAACTCAACTAATTACTACTTGAAAATTCGTGGTACTGAAAAATTGCCCTGCATAATCAGTCAGTTGGTTGATTTTTGTTAGAGGTTTATTCAAAATTGTAAGTGAAATTTCATTTTCTATTGAATTACAGTGCATATATTAATGACATTTAGTTCCAAATCCCTTCCAGTAATTCGCTTTCAAGGAGACCTATTGTACAGTCAGATGTGAAATAAATGTCGCATATGGACGGTGATAGCACCTCTAGTCACTTCTGATGCAATGAGACTGCTAACACCATGAAATAGCGACATGTTTTTGGCATTTGACTGTACCTACCTACACCCAGCCAACACATCTCTGACATGACATGTCTGAGATGTCGCGTTTATGTAACAGTTCATAAGCAAACATATTCGCGACATAATATATCTGAGATGTCGCTATGAGGCGACACTGCGATATCATGAATGTTACATCGCTGTGATATACAGAAGCAGACATATCTGCGACCTGACATCTCTGAGATGTCGCTGCGATGTTACATCAGAAGCAAACAGATATTTGACTGACATTTCTGAGATGTCGCGATGAGGCAGCATTGCGATGTCACGATTGTTCCATCGCGGCGTTGTAGCTTCAGAAGCAAACACATCTGCGACATGACATCTCCAAAAAGGTCATGATGAGGCAACAGTGCGATATCACGAATGATGCATCGCTGCGATGTACATACAGAAGCAAACTCATATGAGAAAATTTCTCAATCAGATTCTTGTTTGGTGAACAAGAATACATGAATATAGATCATGATTATTTGTCGATGACTTGAAGATACATATATCGTCCGCATACGCAACGGAATTTTAGTGGAGTATATAAGCTCCAAATCTATTGATGTACCACAAAAAGAGAATTGGCCCCAATATTGATCCTTGAGGATCACACATACATACCGATCCTATTTCTGATGTCACTAGTGATATCTTCATGTTCAAATTTTCAAGTCCATGTCGTCACGGCAACCACAAATCTCTACAGAACAACATCTTGTCACCTGATGGTATGACATAGAATTGACTGTTTCATATTGGTCGTGGAATTGTATTAATAAAAACAATTTGTGTACATAATACTATCAAAAATATTGTCAGGAATTTTGGACTCGATCAAATTACTTCGAGGTAACACCACTCTTTCCTGCGGACTCGTGGTATAACCAAGCAATACGATCTTGTTGATTTCTGATAGGAATAATATCGATATTATCGCGAGCACTCATACCATTACTTCTAAAAAAACCAATTCTGACCAATCATAATTGAGAGATAGCCTGTGTTTTTGCGAAAATATCAGTTATCTTTGATTTCAATGGTCAGGGTATGTAAGATGAGTGGGGTAGACAGGGATGTTGTATGTTCTCCATTAACTCTAATCATTGGTCATTTGCAAAAGGACATGGAACATCTGGTGGATATGGTTCTGCAGAATAACGGGGTAGCTCAGCAAATGAAATACCTTGAAGAGACTAAGTGGCAGGACTCCATAATGGAAACGATAATGAAGAGAGGCACGAACATTTCAATTCATGCTGAGAAGAACAGGTCCCAAGAGATCGTACCAGGTAAGTGTGGAAAAGATATAGATGTACTCCAAGACCTTCAGAATAATATGATCTACACAAAGAGTAAGAGAGAGAGGATGAGAGAGAGTGAGGGATAGAGAGGGGGACCAGTAAAATGCCTGTCAGCAATAGTGTCTATTATATCGTGAAGCTCTTGAGAGATATGCGAAAATAGCCTTCAGTTGCCTCACCCATTGTCCTCACCTGCCACTATCATTCCGGTGACTTTGATTACTTGATGAACGAATATATCTCATCATGAGAGTTCCTGAGCAACCCTGCACCTGGAGATGATTACTAGAAGATAATGAGAGTGTTCTCTCTACTAGTACAACTAGAACACGCTTCGAAGAGACACATTTTCACATTGGGACACTTCCTTTATTCTCTCAATCTTTCATCTTTCTCTTTGTACCCATCTAGTCCAATTTGCTACCAGACGTTATCGACAAGTGACTGATTCAACTTTGCAGAACGCTACAGAGTGTTCTTGGCGCCTTACCCCGCAAATGATCCGAAATCATCATATATCAATGCAGTTTTGGTAGATGGTTTTCGCAACCCGGGCAGGTATATCGTGACGCAGCAGCCAATGCCGAACACTCTGGGAGATTTTTGGAGACTAGTGATTGAACGTGGGTGCTCCGTTATCATCAATCTGAACTCAGTGAATCCGAGAGACAAGGTATTACAATCCTGGGAAATAAATCATTGTTTGTTAGATCAATTCACATGTATTGTCATAGCTGTAGTTTTTTATTGATCATGAATGATTCTTCCAGAGTTTGTGCAAGTTTTGGCCAACAGAAGGGGATGACATGACTCCTGTGGATTTTTTGATTATTCGACATGTCACCACGAAGGAGTTCGAATGTTACAAAATCGTAACAGTCTTAGTTGAAGTAGATGATTCTATGGTGAGATGCAATAAAGGAAATGTTTCTGTAGATTTTAACAGAAGTTATTCTTCATTTTATAGGAGGAATTTTCAGTGGATATCATATCAATGAAAGGGTGGAAACCTGGTCAACTACTGCCGATCAATATGGAAGAATTCTTGGTTTTCAGGGATGCTGCAGATGCTATATCCAGGAATTCAAAAAATGTCATTGTTACTTGCTAGTGAGCAGACAGCAATTCTTTCAATTGGTGAACATAATTAATTCATTTTTCTTCTAGTGATGGTGCAACTGCTTCCGGCTTATACTTGGCGATGTCATTCTTGATAGAGAGAATGAAACTAGAACAAGAATGTGACGTATGTTTGGCAGTGAGGAGTATTCGACATAGCAGAAAGCATTTCGTCACCAAAGAGGTGAGCTACTCAGATTGTGTAATCTTTGGTTGATTCGAAATTGTATTTTCAATTTCACAGGAGCAGTACGAATATCTTTTCAGAGCATCGCTGACGTTCATCAATGGATTCCAGAGTTACGCAAATTTCGATTAGTTTAGCGAAATATGATTTTTTCTGTGCCTGGATTTATCAGAATTTTAATATTGCTTCCTGTAAAACACAACTGAGTAGTCAACATATCTACTTGTATATTAATTTGAGTATTATAATTTCAATATTGCTTCCTGGAAAACACAACTGAGTAGTAAACATATCTACTTGCATATTTGAGTATTATTCGAAGTAGGTATTAATCATGGAAATGATTCATATCTCGAAGTGGTCCAAAGTGATTTCGATAAAAAAACAAGCAACTCAAAGTCGGTCGACCACACTTTCATGTTTTATTTTTTGGGATTCAAAGTATTGTTCTATCTCTAGTTCAATCAGTATTATTGAATTGAGTTGCTTCTGAGGAATCAAAATTTGTATTTATTGATAACAGTGATTGCAATAGTGAAAATGATTTACAAAAAAATAGATTTGGTAAGTGATCATACTATACCCAAGCCTACTAAATTCACCAATTCCACGATATCGCACCAATACTGAATATAGAATATCGAATTGTTGTTCATTCTTCTTTTTCGCTCTTCGTGATGGGATCGGGATTTCCTATACTGCACACTCCTGAAGTGAATTTGGTGACATAGGTAATGCGCTGTTATTTGGTTATAACGAATATTTGAAGATATGAAGAAACTTGTTTCATTTAAGGTGATGCAATTGAAACATAAATGTGAATGCTATATTATGAAACTAAATCTAAAATTAATCTAAATACAGTGAGCAAACATTCTGCCCGCCAAAATACACCAAATTTACAGAGTTATTTGGCGGCAAGGGACAAAGTTTGATACAAGGCCTCTGCAAAAAACCATGCGCAGTACGCAATGATGTCATCTTCATTTGGGTGTAGCTTTGTTATTCTCTCCAATCGCCATTGGAGTGGAGGAGTCAATTCATTTTTAATGAGCGCTAAATCACCTAGGTACTCTCAATGGTTAACAGTCATATTATAACCCTTAAACGTGAGAAATTTAGAAATTTCAGGTTATACTGTGCGAACGGTCAGCTCATATAGTCGGGGCAAATAGGTCGTGGTTCATTTACTTACCATCTCATGTAACTTTGTCAAAAATATAACAATTAGCATAAGAAAGATAATTCCACCAGATAAGATTTTATTTGGACGCCATCTACAGAAAATAAAGTTCAACAAACCTCTTTCTTAAGCCAATCCCTGTAGAAAGAAATTGTCTGTGCTGAAGGATAGGAAAACAAATCAAACAAATAAAATGTAGGTTCATTTATTGACTAAAAAGGGTATTCGAAGTAGTATCAAATCTGCATAAAAAACATTTATAATATGTGTCACCAATAAATTTGACTGCACCTGAAATGCAACTATGTGTGCATATTTATTTTACAGGGTGTTTAATAAACGATCTCCTATCAGTGAAACTTGACACAATGATCATCAGCTTTGAATAAATCTAATCAATGAAATCAATGGAATATTCCCCAGATATAATGCATTACACCTTCACAGATATAGGAACATTGAATAATGACTTATCAATTGTACTAGATTCCAAATTGTACTTGATTTTAGATTATAAGAGATTTGATAATAAATGTTTCAAACGATCAGTGAAAACTCTATAATATGCAGAGAATACCTTATGTCAGCAAGATTGTCAATAAGCCAGAAAATGTCGTTTGACCAGAGCTTATTGATATTTCCAGCTTCCAAATTACATCCTGGTCAATTTCATCATCATTTTGGGCTCCTGGTTCCAGATTTCATGAGAGCATATGAGTCTGGTGAGACGTCAGGTGACCTATAAGTATGCTTAGTCCAGCCAGTACGTTGAATTTATGACATCAAGTTGGAAATTATCTATATCTTCTTGAAATTTACATCAATAGCTTTCCAGCGTTAACAGGAACAATAAATCGGCTCTAAAAGCCAGGACAATCTCTCCAGGAAGATTGTTTCATGTACTCATAAGAAATGCTCACTCTTTCGAGTCCAGAAAAAGGCATTTATCAGCAAAATAGTTACAGTATCTTTCCAATCCAAAAATTAAAGATACAAGTAAAAGCAAAAGTAGAAGTAAAATAACAGTAAAATAACAGTAAAATAACAGTAAAATAACAGTAAAATAACAGTAAAATAACAGTAAAATAACAGTAAAATAACAGTGAAATAACAGTAAAATAACAGTAAAATAACAGTCTGGCAGAACTATAACATAAGAAAAATAGAAAACATGTTATAATAACGTAACCTCAAGATGATGAAAGTTCACATATTAATTTCCATGAATATGGACCAAATTCCATAAAAATAATAATTTCTATAAATCAAAAATATTCTTAATAATTGAATAGTTACTTCTAATTAGATGTTCTTCAAGAGAAATGGTGGATGATCAGAAATTTACTTTAGCGGACATCCACCTTCGAGTTCACTCAATGATGGCCAGATGCAGAAATGAACGATTTTCAATTTTTCTTTCTCTTTTCTAGTTGGAAATTCGAATGTCCATGTCATAAAAGTCATAAAAATCATAGTAACCAAATAGCCAGATTCGAATCAACCGTTGCAATAACCGATATCAGGTTCAAATGAATAATCAATACAATCAATACAGATCAATAACAATAAGAAAACGCTGACGGCCTACTACCTAGACATTCTAAAGATATAGTGAAGTTTATCAACCTTGATATGTTACTGTCGCGATCCTGCTCGTTGAAGGTCTGAACGCTGAACTATTCGTTAATGCTACATGGGACAAAGGAACAAAAGGAAAAGAAGAATTAAAATTACAACCTTAACAACGCGTTTGACATTTCATATGAATATTTTCGAAACAAACTGAAATAATGAACTTTCATCAAGTAAACAAAACATAACATGCAATTGGCAAGGTGACGATTCCGATACGGCACCTGGTGGGCAAATTTGAACCAGTTTAGGACGTAATTCAAGGTCATGTTTGCTATTGTGTTCAGTGGGTGGGTTTCATATTTCATATTTTATGATTTATGAATACCATTCTCTCAACAAATTACGTTAATTTTCTCTTCTTGCGTCTCTTGAGTACAAGACATGAACTTTATATCAATTGCCTAATCAATTCTATAATATTTTATAAATTAGTATCAACAAATCTCTGATAATACGCGAAATCAACTGTGTTTGGTTGCTGGTTGAACTAGTAGAAGGTTCCAATGGATAAATTAGGACCTATAATATGTCCTCTAATATGAATTTCCTCCACTCAAGAAGTCTTTCCTGGTAATGAAGAATCAGTTCAGTTGAATGGAAAAAATGGATAAACGTTGAGAGAATCCAATATGAGTTTGAAAACTGGATGTATGCAGCTCCAACAAAAACTTCCTACCTTTCTTCAATCCATTGGTCCAATTATGATAACAATAAGGTAAATTTGTGATTCATTGATATATTTATTACTGATGAATAACTCTTATTTGCAGTGCCTATCTGAGAGAGAACATGATCAACAGTTCATACCTATTTTGTTTATGGGGAAATGTCTCCAGAGGACTTGGAAAAATAAGTATGGTTGTTTTTCTTTCAAATATTTTTATAAGAAAAATAAAGAAGCAAATTGCAATGCAATGCCTTTGACTTTTGAACTGCAATACACAAAGCTGGGCAAGAAAAAAGACATTAGGAACATGTGCAGGTGGGTAATTTATGGTTTTATTTGTAATGCTTGACTCATATAAAAATCTTGTTCATGACATCCTGCCTAGGCCTCCATAGATTCCTATTTTGTAATATCATCTTTGTAGTAAAATAGCCAATGCAGATTGCATGTACTTCCAAAATGGTTAAGTTAAAATACAGCTCGCAATTACATTCATATGAGCAAAAACAGTAGCATATTTTATAGATCTATAATAACCCTGGTACAAGCAGGTCATTGTAGAGGTAGCTTACTTCATAGCATGAATTGAATCTTTGAACATACTTCGAAGTGACACAATCTATTTCTATTTGAATATTTAGATGGTGTAATTATTACACTGTAATAGCTATTAGATATGGTTTGTTTATAGTAGGTATAACATTTCTTCAATTTTTCAGCAGGGGAGGAGTTGCCATCCAGGGTATCTTACAATTGAGTGCAAATAGTTACACAAATTGAAACCAAAACCCAGATTCCTTGAAGTTGAATTCAAGTTTTTGAGGAGATATCACTGATTATTTGGGTACTTGAACATATCCATGACATTTCAAATTGTATCTTGGAAAAATGTATTCATAATTTTACTGCTTGTATGTTATTATTAAACTGTATATTTATTCATAAGTAAAAGTTCTACTTTTTTGTCTGTTTTGTAAGTATGTTTTAATGTAGGTTTTCAAAATTCATATTTCAATTCCACAACTACCTCAATCAACACCTCATTCTTTTTTGATGCAATTTCAAAGTTTCACTTTATAATCTTTACTGATTCCTTTTAAAATAGGTACCTACCAGGTAGATACTTACTTTTGCTCATTGTTAATTTATTTCTACATATATGAAAGTCCTGGATTTCAAATTCATTTATAATTGTAAATTTTTATGAAGGTATCTTGTAAAATAATTCAGGGAAAAACAGTATACATGAGCACTGAGGGAAGGAGTATACTGGAAGATCCTCCTATTTGTAGGTACTTCTTTCTTGACTTCTTTGGAGTGGCATAAGTACAGTAAAACACATGTTATGTTAATGTACTTTCATTTTCAAAAATTATTATTAATTCAGTTCCAAAATATACAAAACATAATGAACTATACAGATTGATATTTTCAGTTAGATGAATTTAGGATTACAAAATGATATCAAATCACAAAATTATGATAATATACTGTGTAAATATATTAACTGAAATCCTAGAGGTCATTTGATCAATGTTTTATGTGGTGGAATTCCAAATTATTCAATGATTTCATCAAAATGGTAAAAAAAACTAGCTTTACTAGATATTGAATGAATTCCAAGAAGAAAACTCAGTCTAGGATGCCACCTACCTCAACTCTAAGTACCTATATTAGGAATATTCACATTATGAAAAGTGTTTCATATTGATACAATTCACACACATGGCACATAGGATCATGACAATTTGCTGTTATTGCAGTGAAGCACCATAAAATATGAGGTATGGGAGTTGCACTGTAAACAATCCTCAAAG